GGCTGTAGGTAACACCATCAAGCAAGACTGGCGATACCAGGTAACTAATCCAGCACTTGGGAACCCTTAGTAAGAACGGGTCAAAAGCAGTTTTGGGAAGACAACAATGATGGTAGCAAAAATTTCCAAGTGAGAGCGAAATGCAAAATGAACGGTAGGCGAAAGGGAACTTATTAAGCTGGCGCGACTGAGTGAAGCATGCGACATCAGAAGGAGGTGAGGACAAGGAGCAGGAGAAACATGGACATAGGGCCTCTAATCATCATTGAACGGCTATATGCTTTTATGGGCATTAGAATGCGGTCCAGAAGCGACATAAACGTCGTAAAGAAAGGCCTGAAAACGTGGAAAATGTTCTGTTAATGCGCGATTGCCACTAAAATCCTGGAAAGATCTTTACACACCTTTACGTCCAATGGGACGGGTCTACAGCTGCTGCCACTGCAAGAACGATTAAAATTTTCTTTGAGGGTTTGGCGTTTATTTGTGTTGAAAGCTAATACGTATCCATAGGCTTATTCTATGTACTCACATAGTTGACAAATGTTTAACAGATCCTACCTCTTACTAAAATCATGCTAATACAGTTCGTCGCCGTTCGTTCGCCAGTTCACATCAACATAATGTGAACATTACGCATTCGTTTGCAAAAGTCGCTACTGAAGTAAAAGCGAATCGCGATCGATCCCAGTCGAAACAGTACGAGAGACGGTTATCACAGTTACGTGAAGAGGATTCGGACTACGACAGCGATAACGACGAGTCCTACTCAGACTACGGCTCCGTGAAGAGTCATCTTGACGATGATGCAAAAGAGAACAAGCCTCCAACGCCAAATTCACCAGTGATTATGAGGACTTCCAGCAAGAAGCGGAGTCCTGAGTGTGAGCATTAATCGCTTGAAACCTTCTGCATGTTTGGCATGATGTGTTCGTGCGTGTTTGTGGTGTTTGTGATGATTTCCTCAACAATCCTAACAAGGATTACGGTATATGTTTATTCAGACAATGGGCCATTGCCGGGCCTTCTGCCTAACCACAAAGGGTCCGTGTTACTGTTTCTCGATCGGGTATACGGTATCGACTCGCAGGACATGCTTTTCCATTTCCTTGAACAGAGCTTCTTACCGGATCTCCGTGCAGCAACAATGATGGATTCGGTAAGTGCCTGCCTCAGAACGTTTCAAAAATTCACGTCTTTTGATTTGATAAATCTATTGGCATTTACTTCCATTGATTTATTTCCAAACGACTTCAAATATGTTTGATTCTACGATTGTCACATTCGATTCAGACTAACATAGTCACAGCCATTGCTTTTAAATAGGCTTGAGTCGAAAACGGCTTCATTCTACAGTTCCATCTTTATTTTTTTATTTCTTGGCTTTATTTTACAGTAGCGTTACTCTGCCCTACTCACATTTTCGCCTGAACGTCGCTCGTCTTCGAGTAGGTGCCAAAGATTGATTGAGCAATAAACGAACTCTACTGCGACACCATGTCCCAGTCTGAAAAGAGGAAACCTTCCTCAGTGATATCGGAACCCAAGATATGAGTTGTTACCTTTTTGTTGAGCTTCTTGTGAAGGACTGGAGGCGTTAATAAAAGAGCTGATCCCTCGTAACAGCCCGATTTTCCCTATTACCGATGATCAGTAGAGCTGAGACTCAAACAATTATCGATCGTGATTTTCCCGAATAATACCATACAAAACTCGAAGAATTCACACGAAAATGTACCAATCTTAAACAAATGATTTCATTGATCTACCGTAACCACAGCTTTTTTCACTAATCCTTCTGTCATCAGTTTTTTTCAGCCTCGTGCTCTGGAGTCGGATACGGCATTGGCACTGAATCGTTACCTTTGTAACGCTGTTCTCCCACTGCTCACCAATCACTCACATTTCTTCGCCGATGCAGAGCATCATGCCGCTCTCCTTGATGCTACACTCCATACGGTAATGGGTAGCATTGGTCAATTATTGATTTTCTATCCTTATTTTTGCAGGTATATCGAATGAATCGATTAAAATCATTGACAAAGAATCAACGCGACGCTGTGTCCGATTTCTTAGTGGCGATTACTCGGGAACTACCACCGGGAATGATGATCAAACTGTTACGGAAGGTTAAAATTTTTGAACTATCAGGTTACCTGATGAAGTTACCTGCTACTGTAATAGTTTAACATTTCTAGGTCATTGTCGATATACAACAAATGAGCGATATGAATGTGCTGGTCCCACTGAGGGTGAGTTTTCTCGATTTCTTAAGATTTTGCCTTACATGGCATTTCTACGGACGAATTTTCCGATAAATGGTGAAGCTCTCAATCACGATTCCACCAGGAAGCGCACTTCTGAGAATTTTTTGTCTATTCTTCTTTTATTTCTTTCATCATCTTGTTTCTTTCGTCAAAATTCCATTCTAGCTGATGACATTGCACTATGAACGTTGCGGCAAATACTACGGTAGTGGCAATCAGTACGGTGTAGCGACCGAGGTGGAAAAGCGCCTGTCGATGTTGTTGTTCTATGCGATCTTCGACTCTCTTGGAAGCCGACCATATGATCCAGATTTGTTTGGAAAGGTCTGTTTGACCTGGCTAAAGAAAAGACTTAACACCTTTAGTCGAGGGTCACACTGAAAATTTTTTAGGCTTTGCCCTGCCTGACGGCGATCGGGTCAGCCATATCTCCAGATTACACTCTCACAACTGGCGGTGATGATACCGCAAAGTTAAAGGTGAGCAATAGTGCTCTCCTGAAGGTAAACACGTTTCCGCCATATCCTCCAGAAATGGAGCGGATTCGAAGCCCTATCCGTATTTCAGGAGCTCATGGAGGATGGTGCTTGGGTACCGAAGACCGTCGACGTTTCTCGAATCGATCTACCTAGGGATTTGCAATCAATGACTGAGGCATTTGCTGAGCATTTCCATGATTCATGGGCTAGCCGGAAGGTCAGTTACAGTTCTAAAAGCGGATCGCAGTAAGACTTAGCACGTTGGTAGATAGTCTAGTCGACGTCCACACCACGATGCGTGGCGCATCATTTGCTTTTCGATGGAGGGCAGTAGTGAACAGCTTTACGGAAGTCTGTGCGTTACCCTGGGAATGTCGGTATGTCCCCTGGGTGGGTAAACCACGCTGTCTTGTCAGGTATTGCCTCAAGCACCTCTGTTGTCTCAGTTCCTATACGCACTGATGTTTTTCGGACAACGATCCTTCTGGGTCGGTTAGCTAGATCGGATATTGCTTAGAGATGATAAAAATATTCGGATGTTTCCTAATTCTTATAAGTCATTGAGTGAGCTCAACACGCATTTAAACCTAACAACGATTTTTTGCTGAAATTGAGTGCGAGGCGCATCCCTGAGGATAACGTCTAACAATGGAATCTGCCCATACTATGTAGCTGACCAAACTCAGGCGTTTTCAGAAAAAGTTCTCGAGTTCGTGATTCACTGACAAAGTATATGTATGAATTCAATAATTCAGTCATTACTTTAACAAAATAAATTTTAGTTGGAGAAAGGATGGGTTCATGGTGATCTGTACTCACGTCAAAATCTCACACATCCTCGATTAAAGCCATACAGCCTTCTGAAAGAATTTGTGAGTTCTTAATGAGTTTAGTGTTCTTTTTTTCTGAAGCATTGCCCTAAACAGCTAGTGTATTATTCTAAGTAAATCCCAAACCATTGAGGACTATACCTAAAAGCCTTTATATTAACATTTTTTTTAAGGAAAGATCTTTCTACAAAGACCGATGTGCTGAGTGTTTGAAAGCGCTTTTGGCTTGGAATTACAATTTCGAATTGGCTGATCGTGATGCTGCCGATCGAGCAGCCAGTGCTCGTACGCCGTCCGGCTCCACGGTTCAGAACTTCGCACCTAAACCAGTGGATTTGTCAAGTATGACGCTCGAAAAGGTAAATTTCTCTGTTTAGTCAGTATCTATTACACCCTCTGCATCTAAGTGTTCAACCAGATGCAATTAATTGAAAGGTTGTATCACCAGAGCCAAGTTTGTATCGCGGATTTTGCCAAAAGGAAGTCCTAGTAATTCAGCTAAGCATGAGAATAGTCGTTTTGGGAATGGAGTGAGTTGGAGGGTAAATGATCCATTGAATATTAAAAAGGTTTAATTTTTTCATCGCTCTTCTCAAAGAGAGTTCAAATATGCAAATCCATTTTGAATGGGATTTCAGTGGGGACTTTTCTCAGTCTCTTTAGGAAACGTGTGCGCATCCTACTTGCTGGTTCTATTAGATTGTTCGGTCATGGAAGATTGGATAGTTTCCCTCATTCTTATTCGCTCGAACCACACTGAGGATATTGCTAAGTGAAGATGCTCAGTCTCGATGTGAGCTCGCACGCAAGCAGTAGTTCATTAGACCGCCTATGCAAATTGAACACACACCGAACCCAGCAGTAGTTCCTAAACTAAGCAATTTGACCTTCACTGTTTTTGTTTTCATAGCATTTTATCTTGTTTGATGACCGAATATAGTCAACTATCACTTTCTCATTCCTCTGTATTCACAGGATATGGTGGCAGCCGCTGAGAAAATGGCAGAGCACTCACATCTTATTTGGGCTAAAAAGGTAGACTTCCTCAACTTCTGAGCAGTTCGCTGGATAAGCTCGTGTATTTTCAAGGTATGGAACGATCTCAATACAAAGGGCGGGTTTCTGCCCACCTCGTTGGTACCGTGGGATTTGTTGACAGATTTCGAGAGACGTAAAGATCGGTTCCGTGCCACTGAGATTTTGAAATTTGTGCAATACCACGGCTATCACATCGAGAGGTATCTTTTAAAATTTTTCAGTTAGTGTGTTGCTTTCGATAAAATTTTTATTTTGTTGTGAGCCATATTAGCAAACATTTTCGAAAAGGGGTTGAGGTGTCTCTGAGGATGAGCACTTGATAAGGGTTCAACTATGAATCGAAAGATGCGCTAGCTAGGCCTTACGACTCACAAGCTCAGCGATACCTAAAATAGCAAAATAGTACTTGATTGTAATCGATTGATCGACTTGCCTTTTACTTGATTACCTACTTTTGTATAAAAAAAGAATTCTCGTAACAGTTAGGTGCTTCGAGCAAATCTAGTGGACATTCTGGATAAAAAAAAACGTCTAAATTAACTTTAGTTTTATTTTAGTCCACCTGAGCAGAGTTCAGACAGAACGAAGAATGAAGGCGAGAGATCATCGGTGGAAAAGAGGTATGCTTTTCCAAATTATTGTTATAGCAAGAAAATTTACGAGCTTTTCAAATAAACTGCTGATATCACATGACCTTCCTGTTTGGAAGATTACCCTAGCCCTAGGCGATGAGCAATTAACATTAAGCGAGTGTTATAAGAACCAATTATTTCAACTACTAAAAATCAGAGACTGCCTATAAAGTCCCTTCATTCGAAAGAGCTCTGACATTTCAAGAGGTGGGGTGAAGAGGGAAGATCCCGCTGGCTCCCGCGACAATGTTTTGATCGCGTAGTACAATCACTTACGTCACTTTCCGGTTTCCACATCGTCATGGGTCCAGAGGACAATATTCGAAAACTGAAAATAAACATAAGGGACCAAATCAACGCGGAATTTGCAAGTTAGCGTCTTACAAAGGATACCGGTCGCTCGAATTTCCCATGGATTGGGTCAACATTTGAGAGGCACTGCCCCAGTCTCTAAATGCAGTGTCTAAAAATAAGTTCTAATGTCCAAGGAAGGGAGTATAGGTACAAGCAAAGGTCAAGGTGGGGCCAACGTTCGCTTTGCTCATGAAGAGCGGGTAGATGAAATCGAGCGTCGAGTGATGGAACGCAGAGACTACATCATTGTTGAAATTCCTGCTAAAACGGCTTCCCGGCTGAGACCTAAGACCGAATTTTGCTCGAGGAATTGAATATGTCCCAGGAGTATGTGTATGTTTACCTCAGTTTTTACAAAGGAGAATTTCGAAACCGATATCAGTCGCTTTTGAAGCGGACATTGGCTATAATTGAAAATTATGTTGATGGGCTTGCATGGTGAGTTCAAAAGTGGCAAACGTCGGGTCTGAAAGGATGAGGAGGGGGCATTAATGACTCGTGCAGAGCGAGCGGTTCCAAGCGTACACTCATCATGGCTATAGAAATATTGGGCTTTCCTCTAAGAAAAAGTCCGTTGCTGTCGAAATGTATTAGCAGTTTCTCAACGGTATTACCTTAAAATGGATGGTAGCACGAAATAACGAGAAGACTGTTATCTCTTATGACCATGCCAATCCCCACACAGCTAAAATCGAACAAACGATTTCTGAAAAAAGGATATGGAAACTCGGATTCAACCAACGTACATAGCCCCTCGACCAACTAGCGGGCACTTCATGTGGCAATCGCTTTGACAACGGAACGGTTACCGAAGAAGACCTGAGCAGCATCCTGTCTTGTTAGAAAAGACGCTGTTTGGTGCCCAGATGCTTCCTGGACGCTGGCAATGGGTCACTGACAACAATTGGGCCTTTTTCACCAAATACTAGAAATAAAGAAAGATACAATCAAAAAATAAAAAAGTAGAGATCAGCTTCTTATCTCATGGTTTCTCCACAGCAGGAGAGATTTTTTGCAGTGTCAACTCAGCTCTGTTTTATCACGGCTTTGACGTCTCTTTGTGCAATTTTTTGAAAAAAACAGCTCAAAATTTTACTTCTATGATTATTGGCATGCAAGGACTTTACACATATGGTTAAGGTTTGCATATAATCTTCTCGAGAAACTCATACAATACTTGGAGCAAGCAAGTCTCAAGATGAAATCAGTGAAACCGAGTCAAGAGCTTACCAGAAGAAATACGTTCAGAAAAGAAGGGCAGGATGTGAAGTTCTTTGAGAAGGTATCGTATTAGCATCTCCTCAGTTTTTATATGTCGGCGTGTTTTTTCTTCTTGGAAGCCCTCCAGTTCAATCTCCTCAGGTCGTGCTTCCACTGATGCATGCCTACTTCAACGCTCACAAAAATTACTTCCTAGAAGGCTCAACCATAGTTTCTACGGGCACGGCTAGTAACAGAGAAAAGGAAATGGTCGCTAAGTGAGTTCCACCACTTCAGCATTCGTATGATTTAACAAAAGGTGTGCGAAATGAACTCTGAAGTCTCGATCAAAAGCGGAACTTCGGAGCTCTTCTATATACATAAATATTCGAGTGCTGGGAAGTCTCTGAATTGTATTTTAGTAATAGGAAATTTGAAAATATCTCAAGTTAGTGTGGCCGTGGATGCGAAGTCTAAGAGGGTTCATTTCAGTCTCTTCTGCCGTCTTGCTGCGTTGCTTCGAATCAAAAATCGTGCATTTGGAAGCGTGGCGAAAATCACAGTGAAGTGTCTTCAAGGATTGACTCAGGCATTGGATTTGAGGTGGCTCTTGAATCATGTGTTTTTATGCTTTTTGTTCCGCTTTAAGTAGATGGATAAGGCATATGGACGACCATAGCTCCACGGATGCAGAATCAAGGGTGACCCATTTTTCTACATCCTCAACGGATCCTTTTATATTCCTCTGTCATTTAGGTAAGCTGAAGGGTAAAGTATTCAGCGTTGACCTAACCATTTTGAGGTACTCATACATGTCCTATACAACGAGTTGCAGCAGCTAGGCGATATACATACAATTCAGTGATTTTATCCTCCCTGACCAATCTGGTGCCAATGAACGAACCTCAGAGTTAGTTGATAAGCTTGGAAACCTGATGGTAAATTTAATACTGACCGAATTCTTTTTCCCTCTAAAGAAGGGGCTGAAACTGTTCTCTTGCTATAAGCACTGAAGTTTAATACATTTTAATGCTTCTCTCTTAGCTACTGAACCAGTTTATTTAAAGGACGTTGGTGAAGACGAATTCCGATATCATTCGTACGTCGCTATTGACGTTCTTCAACAATTGTGCTGACGATCTTTTTGCAGCTGTGAAAGAGCTGAAGGTATTTTCCAGTTATACCCAGAAATTGATTTTTAGGCGGAAAAGAGGCTTTATTCACTTTTTTTTATAAGTTGAGGATTTATTTAGTTGAGTTTTACAAAGGTATAGCTTGTAAAAAGGAGATAGTTTCAAAGGATTCNCCTATACAACGAGTTGCAGCAGCTAGGCGATATACATACAATTCAGTGATTTTATCCTCCCTGACCAATCTGGTGCCAATGAACGAACCTCAGAGTTAGTTGATAAGCTTGGAAACCTGATGGTAAATTTAGTACTGACCGAATTCTTTTTCCCTCTAAAGAAGGGGCTGAAACTGTTCTCTTGCTATAAGCACTGAAGTTTAATACATTTTAATGCTTCTCTCTTAGCTACTGAACCAGTTTATTTAAAGGACGTTGGTGAAGACGAATTCCGATATCATTCGTACGTCGCTATTGACGTTCTTCAACAATTGTGCTGACGATCTTTTTGCAGCTGTGAAAGAGCTGAAGGTATTTTCCAGTTATACCCAGAAATTGATTTTTAGGCGAAAAAGAGGCTTTATTCACTTTTTTTGTAAGTTGAGGATTTATTTAGTTGAGTTTTACAACGGTATAGCTTGTAAAAAGGAGATAGTTTCAAAGGATTCGATTTCAGGACAACGGTCAATATTCCCTCATCCGTGGCCAGAATCTGAGATCATGGATCTCTTTAGAATTCGCGCATCAGATGATCATACCAGTTCTAACCACGATGTTCACTCATCTGGCCAGGAATCACTTTGGAACTGATGTTCTTCGTAAGTTTATTTTGATTGCAGCTTCAGAACTGGTCATATTCAAGAGTTATCAGTTGAAAAATTCATGGAAGATACGATGTAAAGCAGCCGGAGTGCACCCCAGGTTTTATATGGGTTCCTTCACGTTCGCGCAAAAGCATAGTTCTTTGCAAACTGTTCTGCAAATCGAAAACATCGTTATAGTCTTTCAGGGATGTTTTCTTTGAAGTAGGAATTTACTATAAAGCATGTCAAAACATTTCGTAGATATTATGGGTATTTTATAGCATTTCCGTCGGAAACAGACTTGCTACTTTGACATTGTTCCTGCTTTTGCTTCGTTGCTTTTTCTTCTTTTCACTTTTTTATCTATTATCTTTTGTAGTGGACGATATTCAAGCAGCTGGTTACAAAATCCTCGACTCTCTCTACATGGTCACTGGGCTCGCCTCGACGGCTGCTCAAAGGAAATCTATTGGATACGAAACAGATAAGTACGTTTTATCCCTTGAAATATGCAGGGCTCTACACGCCATTCATACGATAGCAAAGTGCGTGTCTCAAGTGATAATATATACCACTTCTCCCTACCACTAACTGAAACTACTTCGAACACAGCACATTTGAAAGGAATTTTTCAGGCATCGACCTGGCCTTGGTCAGTGCTTGTCGGCATTCGCATCGTGTTTCCCGGTAGCTTTCCTCGAGCCTGAATACAATAAAAATAACAAATACTCTGTTTTGGCAAAGACTCAAGACCAGTCGGTTCAAGTGCAAGGTGAGGGTACAACACTATTTTTTTCCATCACACTAGCAATGTTGATCATTTCATTCAAATTTCATACAGTATCTTATGAAAAAAATTCATTTTACAGGTTAATATTTGTATTGCTTTTTATCAAATGAAATACCGAGCCCATGACCACGCAGGCAATGATCACTTCCAACTCTTCACTACTTGCGTTCCCTTTCCCTTAGTTTCAGGGAAGCTTGAACACTCCTAGAGCCGGCACAGTTGCCTGCTCATGAATTCTGTGAAAAAAGTTCATTCACCATCTTAAACCAAAGTGCCTCGATGGCCATGAGCTTCCTACTGATATGACACTGGTTTTGTGAAATGTCAGGTAAAAAACGGGCACTAGCGACTGTAGCATCAAAGTCTTTATAGCTGAGAGGTCGCGTTGGCTCCATACTTGGTTTAAAGAAGTCTTCCTAGGATTTCTTGCATTCTGGGCCATGATATTTCTTTTTGAGACAAATAGCAATACTCTCAGTTAGTCAATCGTCAGCTTTTCAAACACTCTTGTTTTCCAGAAATGTTGCAAAACCTTTCCACTCACATTCCCCACATCGAAAAACTACTCACTGCTATTGAACAGGTTCGTTTACTACTAGTGCTGGTTCTCATAATTGAGTGATTTTGTTTCGAGAGGACATTGTCTTTTGACGGCGCGGGCTGTATTTCTATGGCTGATCACGTCTAGCGTTCTTGCCACTTCGTAACACTTCTTTCTGATCATGACTTAGACCTTACGTCGCTCAAGACTAATACTACACCTCGCTGCCGATTTGTCATTTTCCTAGACCTTTCTCTTACAATTTCTCTTCATTTTTTACTGCTCAACTCATGCAATGCTACTGCCCTTTTCTTTGGCTGCCGCTTTAGTTCAACAGTGCAAAAATCCGCTTATTAGTAGCACTGTTTATTTTTCTAATATTCTTGGAATTGCAGGTGTCCAACAACGGAATAACCTACGAGGAACAGCCGAATGTGTACGATGTGGATCTACCATTGATGTGTTCATACTTGGCGTACTGGTTTAATCAAGGTCCAGATGGTCGCAAAACTGAGAAAACCGAAGAGAAGGAACATCGACAATCGTAAGTCCATCCATATTCTACGAAGTACTCTTGCCAAGCGTTATTAGTATTCATCTGCTGTTCGGGTGTTTTAGGTCCAATTGTTTATTAAATAGTTCCGGCATAATAGCCGTCTTCAGAGCTCTGAACGCAACTCGAGATTATTTGCATTATACAACAAGAATTTAGTTTCCTCCAGCAAAACAACGTCTCTGAAACTCATGGGAGAAGTACCTATTTTAAAAAAGACTGGAAAAGGGTTCTACCTGAAAGGTGGACAGAACCTGCTGCTGCCATAGGCGACTATCACTAGTGAATAAGACGTTTTGATGTCTTACTTATACATATGATTAGGGAAATTTACGTTACGATGTTTCCGACCATGAGTCGTCGCTCGCAGTGCGGTAAGTAGGTGCCTTCGTCTCCTGCCATACTGCTACACCTCAAGTTTTCTGTCATGATGGCAGCACCTTTACGACTAAATCTCATACTCTGTTCGTGGCCCTATGGCAATAGGTTCTACTTTGAGCTAACATCTTACCTTNAAAAGACTGGAAAAGGGTTCTACCTGAAAGGTGGACAGAACCTGCTGCTGCCATAGGCGACTATCACTAGTGAATAAGACGTTTTGATGTCTTACTTATACTTATGATAAGGGAAATTTACGTTACGATGCTTCCGACCATGAGTCGTAGCTCGCAGTGCGGTAAGTAGGTGCCTTCGTCTCCTGCCATATTGCTACACCTCCAGTTTTCTGTCATGATGGCAGCACTTTTAGGAATAAATCTCATACTCTGTTCGTGGCCCTATGGCAATAGGTTCTACTTTGAGCTAACATCTTACCTTCGAAAAATCATGATTTACCACTGTGTATAACACCTGAGCCATGGAAGGTTCCAGACTTCTGTGAGCATGGCATTCCCAGCCAGTGTCTGAAAGTCATAAAAATGTGGCATTTTGTCTTTTCTGTGAAAAGTTGGTTGATTTTAGACTTCCTATGACATCGGTCAGTGCCGATCACATCAATCGCATCTTCTGCGCTCTTCTACGCATGATAAGGAATCACGTTGGTGTAGAAAATGCCCCGTGGCTGTGCCGCACCACCTGTGAGTAATACAGCTTCGTTGTGGACTTTTTTGTGAGCAGATAGCCAAAGGTGCAAAACAAATAAGTTCATATCTTAGAATTTAGCGTGATACTCAATGAAATATTTTATAGAAAAATTTATGGATTTTACAAAGTTGCGGAATTTCAGTCTTTGCCGTTCAAATCATTCAAAACGTCACCTGTGATCCAGTGAAGGACTACATATTACCCATTGCTGAACGACTCAGAAGAATGAGTGAAAAGGCTTTCAGAGAAGAGGAGCACATGCGAACGCATCCTGACGATGCGGACGAGGGAACAGTCGCCGAGGTAAATGATAAGTTGATTTTTGTTACTCTCAAAAGACCTTCTTTTACTATATCCTAATGTAGGGTACTTCTTATTCTGGTTAAATTGGTCTAAATTGGGCAAGGGCGGATGAGCTTAGTGGCAAGTGGCGCACTATCTCACTCTCACGGTTACGGGCTCGAATCCAGAACTGATATCCGCCTAGGCCAATCGAGCCTTCCACCCTTCTAGGGTCGGTTAATTGGTACCGCATCCCTCAGACGGGATTGGTCAATGCTCCAGGACTTTTCAACCTTTGATTGGAGCAAGCAAGGCAACGCTAACCTCACGAATATTCCTCACAGAGAGTCTCCTTGGGCCGAATTTAGCAATTCGTTGTGTCTCAGAGCGCACTCCTCATCGAGCCTCACACTGGATGACTCCCACCACATCTGGCAACTCGCTATTCGAGTATGACGATTTTTCGTGATATCCAGGTTCTTGAAGCGAGCAGGAATTCATATCACAGCTTTCTTGGATAAACATCCTTTCTCCTGTGAAAGAACTTTTGCTAAACTTCCCTCTGCCCTGCTCATCTTGCCCTAGACCTCACCTGTCTCAAACTTGACTCAGCCTTTCAAGGTCTTTTTTTGTGGTACTGAACTTCGCGACAGGCACATAGGCACCCATATAGAAACAATGTATCCAAGGCGCTTTACGTATGTGACAACGACTCCCATAATAGTCTGCTGGGAAGGTCGCCTCGACGACTTTTCGACATATTCATTTAAAGTTGGAAGACTTGCCTTGGAGCCTAAATTCTTCCTAGCAAGAGTGTCATAATTGAGTAACTGACAAGTAATTGAGAGTGTTAATTGTGATGGGGCAAGCTCGAGCACTGCAGTTGGTTAACATGGTTAGCTACACAAAAAGTGTCCACAAATCTATGAAGGTCATAGCGTGACTTGCGGTGATTGATGGCCCATGCTTTGATTTCTGAATCTTGAAACTTTTTCAGGACAATGCTCGTCTGGTGCGCGACACCTACGCATACTTCCCAATACTCATGAAGTACACCGATTTGCACCGTGCACAGTGGTTGAAGGTCCTGTTTATAACTGTGCAGTCATTTTTGTTGTTCTTATCTCTTCATCTTGGCTATGCTTTCAGGCTCCATCATGGGAGACCGATGGCGTTTATGAAAATATCGCAGTTATCTTCCGCATATGGAGTCAAAGTCAACATTTCAAGGTAAGTAAGCGATCGCGCTCAGTGGAGCAGCCGATATTGTTTTACTGTTGTGAGGAAAGCTTGAGGAAAGAAAAGAGATGGAAGTCAGTTGAAAGGGAGAGAAATTCGCCATGGCCTCCATCACTTGATAACTACGCCATAAAAAATGGATCGCACAGTGGGGAGATTCAAGGAGTATCCTTACAGTAAACTAGACGAGGTGTAGTACTGCCACGCTTCAAGCAGGAGCTAGGATTGGAGAGTCGGTGATTTCTTAGAAGTCTGTTTGCAGTACATATAGCAACTCTGAATAGGCTATTTTTGAAATGTAATACTTCTTCTGCTACCTTAGTAAGCGAAACATTGTCTAACTGCAACCAAAATTCCCAGGGCTGAAACGGGGGTTTGATTTCTGGAGGCATTAAAAGAATCTAAAACTATTTTTTCAGCGTGAAGAACTGAACTATATGGCCCAGTTTGAAGAGGACGCAGCAATGGTCGGTGGTGGTGAAATGAAAACCGGCAAAGCGGCCATTGCCGAGCGAAAAAAGAAAAGGAGAGAAGGGCAGGTACGTACAATAATGTTTCTAACACTAAACTTGGAAAGGAAAGCTTGGTTTGTAGTTTCTCAATCTCTACCTAGAAACCAGCCAATATAAAAAGAATAAGAATGAAAATCCAATGAATAAAATCTAATACTCTCGAGAATTCCTCTCTACTTCCACGCACGAATTATTCTTTGCAGTGAAAAACAGGTCATAGCGTAGTTAATGTGAAAAAAATCTTTTACGTTTGCATAACTCGCTCATCCAATCTTACACACAGACAGTCGGCTTTCAATATATCTCCGATCACTGGGGCGTTCTCATTAATGGGGTTCTTCTAGGGAAGCGAAGTTAATGGGGTATTCCGGAGAAGGGAAATTTACTTAAGTTAGGAAGTTTCTCTTAATGTAAACAACCATCATGCAAGAAAACTCACCATTGACCGCCCACTTAATTTAAATATCCGAAGCGTTTTGCTCATTCAATAGCTCAATCATTGCTGAAACTGAAAGGTCATCAATTGAAATGGGAGTACTTGTTGACCAGTGCCCCGACGCATCGACGAAGCGAGCACCTATACTTTGGCCGAAAGAGGGTATTATCAGTTCTCTACTTAAGAGGACGAAGAGACAAGAAGAGATGAATTAACGGTCGGACAAACAGATTCTGAAGTAAATACCGTCCTGTTGGAAATGCAATCGTTCCGCCCGGCTCCGCTGTTCCCGAGAAACTGATAAACTCGTAGAGGATTGCAGTCGCGGATCAGCTTTATAGACGGAAGGTGCCTTCGCAAAGAAGAAGAGAAAGGAAAAGATGATCGCTCAGCGAGAGGACGTAGAGGCTACGCTGGTAGATTGTCGATTGCGCGGCTAGACTTTCACTAGGGAGCTTTCACGCCCTTCCATTGACTTCCTCTATTCGAATCTTTGAAGGGTTAGCATCCGTCGATTGGAGCACGGTTGCCTAGCGGTGCACATAGGAACGTCTACGCGGCCGCATGTAAGTTGTGACAACATTCCTCAGTCTCTACAGAAGTACCACTTAGCCGTTCAAAGAATGGCGAGGCATAGTCCATTCGCAGCCCCTTTTTCAGTTCCCAGTTGCAGTTGAACTGTTTCGCTCAGGCTGAAAACACGGAAACTTCTTAAAGTTTGGTTACGGTTCAAGGATATGGTCAACTGATTGGGGAGGGATCGGGCAAATGAGCAATACTAAACTCATTTACAGTCATCGCATGACATAATCGTCATGCGCAACTCCACTAAGCATTGCTGCTAGATAAGGGTTCGACATATCACTCCTCGGGAGATACACATGGTTCCTCGGGATGTACGCTTCTGACCCTGAATCATGGTCCTTGTGAATCAGTAGATGGGAGTGGGAGGCAAAATCAATACTGCAACAACAAATTCCCTGTCTCAGTACTGCAATCATAAAAGGCTCGATAAAATCTAAGACACAATTTCGTATTGCTATCCTTTTGCGGTGGTCAACCTCTGTACATATTAGGTTGAGTAAAAAGTTTTGATCAGAGTGCCATCCTTCTCTAGATTCTTTCATAGGACTACTCGTAATAGGTTATGGTAAATGATTCCACCTGCAACCTGCACCGGGGAGGGGCTGAATATAATCATGTCCTTCCAAGTGTTTCGCGATACATAGTGACCTCTGTCGACTGGAGCTGTTTGAGAGCTATCGTCTTTTACGAGTTTCTGCAAGGCCATAATCCATCGACGGTTGTCGCAAATATCAGTACCGCATGCAAAGAAGACATCGTGCCTCAACTCACGGTACATCGTTAGTATCAACGATTTCGCTCGGGCAGTATTTTGCACGAAGGTCAACCTCGTACTGGACTTCCCCCTGATTTGAATAACGGAGCTTTGCGTACTGTTCTAATGGAGAGGCCAAATGCTACTATTCGCGTTTTCTCGACGGCACGGCTGCAGCCAGAAAACTATTGTCAACCATCCCCACGGCCTCGGCTACCGCGATATACTCTCAAGATGGGTGCCCCACAATATGAGCGACTCGGAAAAAGCGTCAGTGTGTGCGCTTCTTTGTTCCTTCGTTCACATAGGAGAGACTTCCTCAGGGAGATGATTACTGAAGACGAGAGCTGGGTCCTTTATGTGAACCATAAGCGAAAAAATTGCCAATGGATGCCTTATGAGGAACCATCTCCAAGACAGCCGAAAAATGGACAACATCGGAGGAAGGTTTTGCTATGTTGTTGTTGGGATTCCCAAGGCATGCTCTATTTCGAATTAATTCCTGAGGGTACTACCGTAACCGCCGAGATTCACGCTTCTCAGCTACAAAGTGTAGCCGACGTTATTTAAAGGAAGCGTAAAGTAAGTAGTAAGTAAAAGAAGGTTTGTCTTCCTCATGACAACGCTCGACCGTATGTTGCAAAATTGCCTCTTCAGAAATTTACCGAATTTGGATGGGAAGTGCTGCCACACCCTTCTTATTCGCCAGATCTTCCTCCGTCCGATTACTATATTTTTCTTGCTTTGAAGCATCATCTTCGCGATAGAAAATTCGATGATTGCTCGGAACTCGAAACTGTGATTTCCAGCTTTTTCGAATCGAAAAATTTGGGCTATTTTTACTTTTTTTCTGGGCTTCATTCTAGGCTTCAGGAACCGAAAAACTGGGTTATCGGTGGACCACTCTGGAGACTGTATTACTTATTGAGATCCTCTTTTGATGAAAATAAGACTTTTTGAAATAACGATGAAAACCCGCAAAACTTTTCTTTCAACCTAATATTTTTCGTTATATTAACAATTATATTTCTTAGATATTTTTCTAATGTTTTTTTCCTTTGTCTTTTTATTTTGATACCTTTTCTATATTAGTACGACAAATTGCGCGATACGAGAGAATTTAAATGTCCGGTGAGTTCCATGTGATCGAACTGTGTTGTGTTGGCAGTTTTTCGGTATTTGTAGACCATTACATAATTAGACAACTTAATATTTTCAGGTGAAGAAAGACAAGCACGCAAACAGCATAGTCATCGCATGCGTGAAAAGGCTACTACCGGTTGGACTGAACGTCTTTGGTGGACGGTAAGCAATTGTGTAAGAGTTTACCTATGTGTTTCACGCATCTAAATTATCTACGAAGCTCTTTAATGAGTTTTAAACCTGAGAAGGAGAGTAGATAAAGTAACATAGGTGTGACAAAGGAGTCAATATTTCCCATTATGGCATCTCTTAAAAAGACACGGATCTGTTTGCTCTTATGTTATTGTTAGAATATATTGAATATTAGAGTTTTAGTATTTGGTATATAATGGCAGACATTTTTCTTCCCACTGCCTGAATGCTCCTGAAATTATGAGCGGAAAGGTCCATTGGATTCGGCTTTGTCTTTTAGAAAACTACACTTCTTGGTTCAAGGAATCGCTAACTTTGGCCTCCCAGAAGTGGACTTTTTTGGCGATAGGAAACAGTGGCTCTTCTCTGCTTTGCTGTGATATCCGTACTGTCCTCTCACAAACTCGATGCATAGAGAAAATCGCTGGGTTCTTTATGGCACTCCGTTCTAGTCGTGCAATTCCGATATGGAGTCTTTGCCATAGATTAAAAAGCGTTATATCAGCAAATATCAGTATCAGTAACAATTGTTAGTAATAACAAAAATCAGCAGTAAATACACTTAAATGTAAACATACATGATTGCTATATGCACTTTTTATGCCACGTGTCACGAGCTACATATCTTGCGCCCAAATTTTTTCGCCACTATGTAATATATATGGCCTCATTGCCTCGTTTTTCCAAGCTTCTATAAAATGGATTGATAAGAGTTTCTCTCCAACATATATTACCTAGATGAGTTTGTACAGTATACAAGCAACATTGTGTTGTACTCTATACAAGAGTGCAACTGCGAAGACTTTTCTCGATTATTCAGAGAGCTGGATATCGTGCAGCAGTCCAAGGAGCGATTCCTACAGAAAGAACCAGAGGATAAAATACGAGAATTCATCAAAGGACTACTTGAAATTCCAATTAAGGTGTGTTCGTTCTCATTTTTTATCATGGTTATTTGTTGGCGCAAACCCCATGTAGATCGAATTGGCACCTTAAACCTAGGAAACGCGTTACGTTAATTCTGAATATCAGGTTGATCAACAAGTTTGCAACACAAACAAACCAAAAGCAAAAACATGGCTGGGGCAAGTAACGCTGAGATGGCGGACACTTGCCGAGGGTGTATTGAAGGAGATCAGTAGTCCTGTCGAATATTTATATTAAATATAAATCTAAATAAATATTAAATATATAACAACCAAGCCAGTTGATTAGACTCTAGGCAGATTCTTTTTTCAAGGGAGTGGCGCCTAAGCGTACTCCTCGAATCGGACCGCCTAGATTTTTCGAGGAGGGGCCTTGGAATGGACGCCACATACTTGTAAAAGGTAACTCCTATTGTTGACTAAACGACTTTACCGCACTTGTGCACGTTTATTATGACGTGTATAGTAACCGACATTGAGACATAGATCTGAGAGCTTATACACTTATGAACGTGAGCGGAGCCCAGATACTCTATCACCGATGTATTGTAGTATAATAGTACAATCGAGCAATGAGATAAAAGTATGTGCCGCGCCAACGGTTGTACCTGGGGCATCTACCTTATGGCACACTTAAGACAGTGACCGATCATACCTTTGGTATCGTCTCAACAACTACTTATTAAAAGTATCAACTAATTTAAGTAGATAGACAAATAATTAGGCTAGCTGTGAGCCACGACTGAGATAGCTGAGTTATTCATTTGAACCTCTTGCTGATGTTCCTTGTATAAGTTGTCAACTCAAACCATTCTAGTCTTGTTGGCTAGACATTAAAAATTGACTTTTCGTGTTGCTTCGATACGAATCTTTCAAACTTGAAACTCACCACTCAAAGATCTTTTTCCGAGAAGCTATTATATACTTTTCACAGCGTAAGTTAATTTTGACCTCATTCGGAATGGAAGCTACTTTTGTACTCCATAAGTTAAACGTGACATTGACAGTGAAAGTCGGGATCTTAACTTTGCTTGCCACCTTCAGCTGAGAATCACAGGTCGAATAAACAAAGTTGGCTATGATTTGGTTGGTGGGTAGGACGTCGTCATCCCTCAGATACAGGCTACTGCCACTAATGTAGTCATACATGAACTTTAATATGAGATCTTTATTATTCTTCCTTATTCGCCTTTTGTAGTAAGTGTTCAAGAGAGTTCCTACGCAACTGCATTGAATATCTCACCCCTCTGTGAGGCACACCGCTGAGTACGGGGATGTCTCTAAAAAGTGAGAACAATGTAAATGGAGCGCAGTCTATGTAGTATCATAGAAAATACTATGTTTGGTCTGTTTGAAACCTAGGCATGTGCACTCTGTCTTCTGCTGCCTAGCCAGGCAGGTTTGTCATGGAAGACCCGCTCATTCGGTCGACTTCGGTCTAATACTCACGTCAAGGACCGAAGTGGTTCGAACCTCTCGAGCTTCAGTCGCAACCTCTCCTAGAATCTTGAACACAGATGGTGCCATCGAGGTGACTATCCTTTCGCGGCTCCACTAGCGCACAGGCCCCACCCTCAGTATTTTAATAACAAGGAACAAATGAGACACCGCTGACACTCGCACCACCCAAAGTAACCGATAATCTCAAAGTCCACAAAAGGAAATAAACGGCAAGCGTTTACTTGTACTGATCATATACTCATTTCGGTTGTTCAGCTTGGCTGTTTGTTTTATTTTGGCCTGCTACTGGGATCCTTGAGCGGGTAAGCCGCAGATCAGGGGCCTCGAACCACTTTCAGTTCGTCGACTTGTTCGTAAGCAGTTTTACTATAACATTTTCGTAAGGAAGGAAGTTTGCAGGAAGCGTGTGCCTCCTTAGGATCTCACACTATGTTCAAAAATACCTAGAGAGTTCCTTGAGTCCATGAATTTCGTCGTTCCTAGCGTAATATTCGTTTATTAATTTAAATTAATTTAATTGATTCGTACTGTTCTATGCTGGATTCTTTTTCGTTCGGCTTTTTTCCAATAATTTTTCTCATGTGCACGTGTTTACAGCGTGAAATAAACATAGGTGCAACATACATAACAAAGTTGCGTCGCCAAGCAGTATAAGACGATGTACAGTCCAGATTATCGGGAAAGGCTCGATCCACTCTATGAGAGTTAGCCAAAATGAGGATGTTCTGCTAGAATCCTGAAAGAATCCAAATATTTACCATCGGCATTATCATACTTCAACTTCCGTTGAACCTGACAAGAAACCCAGCCATTAGAAATGAATGAAAAGGAAGTTCATACAAGAAAACTCGAAATCCAACAGATATCGTTCCCCAGTCAAGCGATGAACATAAAAGCGTAAGTTACAATACCCACCCTAATTATTCGAAAAAAGGCGAAAAAGACGTTTCGTCTTTTCTCTATAACTAGGTGAGTTTACACTTTTTT